TTTTTGTTTGAGACAGAGCCTCAAGCTGTTGCCCTGGGTAGAGTGCTCTGACATCACAGCTCACAGCAACCTCTAACTCCTGGGCTGAAGTGAGTCTCCTGCCTCTACCTCCCAAGTAGCTGGGATCACAGGCGCCCACCACAAGGCCTGGCTGTTTTTATTTTTGGTTGCAGCCGTTATTGTTATTTTTTGGCGGGCCCAGACTGGATTCGAACTCGCCACCTTAAGTGTATGTGGCTGGCGCCTTAGCCACTTGAGCCACAGGCGCCGAGCCCTGGTTACTACTCTCACCCACAAATGTCCAAAGAGTCCCTAGATGTTATTGTCCCCTTGAGGCCCATCTCTGTTGTGAACTTGTCCTTCTCCACTTTCCTCCTCCCTTTCACAAGTGACTATCTCTGTTCTTTATGTTTTCTCCCTAGTCCTAAGCCAATTTGAAAGGGGGGTTGGGGAGTGACTGGGGGGCAGTGTCTGCTCTCAAAAACCTTGGTCTAAATAGGGAGACAGTCTTTGTTATAAAATCTGGCAGACAGACCAGAAAGCCTTGCTGACTACATACTTTGGCTGAGAGGAAGGGGCATGTGAGCTAGTGCCATTCCCATGGCAGTTTGGAATAGTGACAACCCCAGTGAAGTGTTGGGGCCTTTGAGAGACCTAGAAGGCCAAAGGGATTGGGAGGGCCAGATGCATGGTGGGTTTACAGTTTGCTAAGTAACCATTTAGAACAGCTTCTCCCCCTGGGCTTCAATGAGGGGCCAAAGAAAGCACCTCCCCAAACATGCACAAACAAGTAAGACTTGTGTTGCCATCTCTGCAGGTTTATGTGCGAAGCACAGACTTTGACCGTACTCTGATGAGTGCTGAGGCCAACCTGGCTGGACTCTTTCCTCCCAGTGGGATGCAGCGCTTCAACCCAAACATCTCATGGCAGCCTATCCCTGTGCATACTGTGCCCATTGCTGAGGACAGGGTGAGACTGGCCAGCCCTTCCCTGGAAGTGGTGACAGTTCTGGCCTTCGACTTGCAGATACCAGACCTTTTCTCTGCTTCGTTCCCTGCTTCGGTCTGCAGCTGCTGAAGTTCCCGTTGGGCCCATGTCCCCGCTATGAGCAACTGCAGAATGAGACCCGGCGGACACCAGAGTATCAGAACGAGAGCACTCAGAATGCAGTGAGTGAGAGCTGAGGTCGGGGTCATCAGACTGCCCTTCCCCCCAGGGCAGGACTGATCCTCTGATCCATTTTTCATAGCAATTTCTAGACATGGTGGCTAATGAGACAGGGCTCACAGACCTGACGCTAGAGACTGTCTGGAACGTCTATGACACACTCTTCTGTGAGGTAAGCCCACTAGGGTGTCCGCTGTGCTCTCTTCTCTCCACCCTCAGCAGGCCCAGGTCACCAGGACAGCAGAACACAGTGCCTGGACACCATCATTCCCACTGGGGAGGTCCAGGCAAGCTGCTGCTTGTGAAACATAGGAACTTCCCTAATAAGTGAAAAAGAACCTCGGAGTGGGAAATGGTTTACTAATTGTCAGCAGTCCCTACTCCTCTCCACCCAGAGCTCTCATGGTGTCAGACTCCTTTCTGCTGAGTCTCACTTCTCCTGCCTGAGCTTTCTTCCCTGTGCCCTGCAGCCTCAGTGCTGTCTGCCATGCTACTTTCCCAGCCCCTTTTCCTCACCTTTCCTTTCCTCTCCTCTCCCTCCGTCACACACACAGGCACCTTCCCACTGGGGAAGAGAGCTACCCCGGGAGAGGCTCTGGCCTAGGTCCAGGGAGCTAACCTGCCTGCTGCGATACACAGCAAACACATGGGCTGCTCCTGCCGCCCTGGGCCTCACCCCAAACCATGAAGCGTCTGAGCCGGCTAAAGGACTTCAGCTTCCGCTTCCTCTTCGGGATCTATGAGCAGGCGGAGAAGGCCCGGCTTCAAGGGGGTGAGTAACAAGAACAGCATGTCACTCTCCTCAGGAGCCTACAGCATTAAAAATATGCTATCAAGGGCTTCTCGCTAGCTTTCTTCTCTACTGAAACATTCTCTACTCTTTCAAATCCAGGTTCCCCCATTACCCCATTAGCCACCAAGCCTCTCCATTTCTCCCAATGCTTAGCCCATGTGATACTGTATGACCACAATCAGGTTTGCATGTTCTTTTCTGCCATTTGCATCCTTAAGCTTCACCCACATCAGAAGACCCTCCCTCTCCAAAATGAATAGCCACCTCTAGAGAGCCACCCAGGGCCATTTAGGGAGAAGGCTGAGAGCAGCACAAGTGGCAGTTTCCTAATTTGAGCACCCAAGGGTGTGCCAGCTGTTAAACCTTTCAGACAGCTCAGTTTTCAGAGCCTGCATAGAGCAGTTACCTTGTCATGGAGCCACCCTCAGTATGTTTAGAAACAACCTTAAGTGTATATTTCTTCCGAACTGAAGTTATTCTTCCAACATGGGCAGGGACTCATAGCTTATTTGTGAATGAGCAGGTTTCTATATCCGTGTTTAAATTTTGATTGTTACCGTTTCATCTTGCTTCTTTTTTTGAGACGGAGCCTCAAGCTATCCCCCTGGGTAGAGTGCCGTGGCTTCACAGCTCACAGCAACCTCCAACTCCTGGGCCCAAGCGAGTCTCCTGCCTCAGCCTCCCAAGTAGCTGGGACTACAGGTGCCCGCCACAACGCCTGGCCATTTTTTTTTTTGGTTGCAACCATCATTGTTGTTTGGCGGGCCCGGGCTGTGGATTCGAACCCACCACCTTAGGTGTATGTGGCTGGCGCCTTAGCCACTTGAGCCACCGGCGCTGAGCCTCATCTTGCTTCTTTCTGAAAATTTGAGAGTTCTTAGAAAATAGGGATACTACACAGTCCCCATAAACTGCAAGTGTTCTCTGTGTTGGTATTCAGACCCAGGACTAGCAGAGGGCAAGAGAAGCACAAATAGGTCTGATCAATGGTAACTGTAGCCACTGATACTGGGGACTTCTCTCCTTCAGGAGTCCTGCTGGCTCAGATACGGAAGAACCTGACCCTAATGGCAACCACCTCCCAACTCCCTAAGCTGCTGGTTTACTCTGCGGTAGGCTTCTATACTCCCCAGCATGCTCATGTCTACCAAGGAGCTGGGTTTCCTATTTGATTTCTGGGGGTGTAGGCAAGCAGTGCTGATGGGAACCTCTCTTACAGCATGACACTACCCTGGTCGCTCTGCAAATGGCACTGGATGTCTACAATGGTGAACAAGCCCCTTATGCCTCCTGCCACATATTTGAACTATACCAGGAAGATAATGGGTGAGTGGAACTGCCAGCTGGTCCTGTACAGGGGCCATCAGGTGGTAGCAGAGGGTAGCCCAAGGACTCAATCATAAGCATGCTGAGCAGCTCCCATCTTGCTTCCTGTCAACCCTCAGGAATTTCTCAGTGGAGATGTACTTTCGGAACGAGAGTGAGAAGGCCCCCTGGCCGCTGATCCTGCCTGGCTGCCCTCATCGCTGCCCACTGCAGGACTTCCTTCGCCTCACAGAGCCTGTCGTTCCCAAGGATTGGCAGCAGGAGTGCCAGCTGGTGAGCGGGCCTGCAGACACAGGTAGCTGCCTCCTGCCTCCGTGCTAGTAACATCCCAGACCAGCTTTCATTTCACATCCACAGATCTGAGAGTTGTGCTTCCAGCATCATACTGCATTTCCCTGGCAGTTCCCTTTCCTATGCTGAGACCGTTTTATACCTTTTTTCTTCTCCTCACCCTCAGGTGATGCCCTCCCTTCTTTTATGACTGAAAAAATAAGAGCAACCAGGAGAGACGTGGCTTATTCCCTTAGCCCAGCTCTAGCAGCTTCTGTGCTGGTTTAAGTCACTACTTAGGGCCAGCCCCTCTCCATTCACACACTGGGCCCATCTCCTCTCACCACTGCAAGGAATCCTGATGCCTCAGAGCTTCCCTCTCTACTGGATCATTCCCATCTCAAAAGTCTAGTGAAGACCTGAGACCCACATCTTTGCTCAGCTAGCACTGTTTCTCTGTTCCCTTTCAGTGTAGAATCCTTCAAAGAATTGTGTAGACTCTGGCTTTCCTTCCCATCCTCCTAGACTCACATCAGGCAGTCTTGTCACCTTCCACTGCATTGAAGCCACTCTTATCAAGGTGACCAGTTCTTAGCTTCTCTTACTTTTTAGCAGTATTATGCAGTTGGTCACTCCTTCCTTAAACACTTTCTTGGTTTCTTTTGTTTTTTCTCTTAACTTGCACACAGCTTCCTTACTGGCTTCCTCTCCACACTGAACAGTGACTGGCCTAGGGCTCACCCTGGCTCTTTATCCATCAGTACACATTCCCAAGCTTATCTTGTCCAACCTCATGTTTTCACACACCAGCTCATGCTAAGTTCAATCCTGATGTCATGACTTGCGATTTATGGCCTGAGCTACATACTCACATCCAGCTGCTGACTTGAGTCTACATGAGGATCAAATAAGACATCTCAAAGTTGCTATGTCTAAAACCAAATCTAAAAATAAATAAATAAGTGCTCTTCCCCCAAATCTGCTCTTCTTCTAGGCTTCCCTATTGTAGCAAACTCCACATTAGTCATCTAGTGGCACTATAAAATCCTCAAGTTGTTTTGAATACCTCAACGTCCAGCCAGATCCTCTCACCTAAACCTTTTATACAGATGCTTCTGTCTCCATAGTCCCATCTACTATCAGCTCTAGTCTGAACTGTTGAAAAGCTTCCTAAAGTTCTAATCCTGTTCTTTTTGCCACCAGTCTTTTAGCACAGCAGAATCGATTTTTTTTTTTGAGGGTAGAGTGCTATGGCTTCACTGCTTACAGCAACCTCCAACTCCTGGGCTCAAGCGAGTCTCCTGCCTCCACCTCCCAAGAAGCTGGGACCACAGGTGCCTGCCACAACGCCCAGCTATTTTTTGGTTGCAGCCATCACTGTTGTTTGGTGGGTCCGGGCTGGATTCGAACCTGCCACCTTAGGTGTATGTGGCTGGCACCTTAGCCGCTTGAGCCACAGGCACCGAGCCAGAATCGATTTTTTTTTTTTCTTTTTTTTATTGAACGGTAACTATGTACATTAATGCACTTCTGGGGTACAGTGTGGGGTTTTCACATGCAATCTGAAATACTTCCATCAACTGGTCAACACAGCCTTCATGTCATTTTCTCAGTTATTGCTTTACAGAATCGATTTTTTAAAACATAGATCAGTTTATATCATTATACTTCTCAGAATCTTCCAATGGCTTCCGAACACATATGAAGTAAGATCCAAGTTCTTTTTATTTTTATTTTTTTTGCAGTTTTTTTTTGGCCAGGGGTGGGTTTGAACCCGCCACCTCTGGCATATGGGGCCGGCGCCCTACCCTTTTGAGCCACAGGCACCGCCCCAAGATGCAAGTTCTTTTTTTTTTTTTTTTTTTTTTTTTTTGGAGACGGAGCCTCAAGCTATCCCCCTGGGTAGAGTGCTATGGCATCACAGCTCATAGCAACCTCCAACTCCTGGGCTCAAGCTAGTCTCCTGCCTCAGCCTCCCAAGTACCTGGGACCACAGATGCCTGCCACAACACCCGGCCATTTTTTGGTTGCAGCCATCATTGTTGTTTGGCGGGCCCAGGCTGGGGATTGAAACCCTCCACCTTAGGTGTATGTGGCTGGCGCCTTAGCCGCTTGAGCCACAGGCGCCGAGCCAAGATCCAAGTTCTTGACCATGGCCTTGCAGGTCTACTTGTCCCTTGCTTACTCTGCTCTAGTATACTGACTTTCTTGCTGGTCCTAGAACATGCCAAGCTTATTCCCACGTCAAGATCTTTTACATTTGCTTCCTGTCCCCCGCCCCAACACTCTTCTCTCAGATTTTGTCTCACTCATTGACTTTAGGTCTCTTGAAATTCTCATTTCCTCCATGATGCCTTCTTTGACTGACCTACCTTGCTTTTTTTCTTTATAGTATTTGTCACTAAGTTTATTCCTCTCATTTGCTCCTTTATCAGATCTCCTCTCGTACAGTGTAAACTCCATGAGAACAGAGACTTTGCTTGGCTACCTTTGTATATTCCTGCATGTCAGAACAGTACCTGGCATGTGGTAGATGCTCAGGTATCTGCTGAATGAATGCTGACGTGACCTTTCTCTTCCCCTCCCCCCATGCCCAGAGGTGATCGTGGCCTTGGCTGTGTGTGGCTCCATCCTCTTCCTTCTCATAGTGCTGCTCCTCACCGTCCTCTTCCGGATGCAGGCCCAGCCTCCTGGCTACCGCCACGTCGCAGACGGGGAGGACCATGCCTGACAACCACTCAGCCCGCTTCCCTCTACCTCCTAGGGGAGGTGGGCTGGGCCCTTGCTTCTGACTGTTGCTGCTCCCCAGCCATGGATAGGAGACCCTAGGCTGGGCCTCCCTCTCATCACCCTGGCCAGATGAGTGAGTGGGGCTCAGCTTGGTCATGGCACCTGTCACTCAGCATTCACACACCTGATGTTTACCAAGTACTGTGTTGGACACTGGCTTTCTCCAAACAGGATTTGCCTTCTCTATGCTCCCTAAGCACCTGAGATGTAAACAGAAATTCAGTTTACAGGACCTGGGATAAAGAAACTGACGGAGTGGTGCTTGATCCGCCTTGTTCTTCCATCAAGCCCTGCTTTCTCTTCTAGCCTGGAGTTTTTGGCAAATAGCTGAGGCCAGTCCTGCCTCTCAGTGCTTACTTTAGTGGAAAAAACTGCACAATGCTAGGGGTACAAACACTGGCTACCAAGGAACTGGATCACCCAACAGCCAGCCAACTGACTTTCCCTTTGTCTGGCTGAAGCTACCATTAGAGTAGACATAATGCTTCAGGCATTTCTGTCACCTCTTCAGCTTGAGCAGGACAAAGGGTACATGGACTTAGAAGAGCATGGGGGGAGATGGGAGGGAAGTGGATTGTCACATAGAATCATGAAATGTTTTCCTTCTCATTGGAGCTGGGGTCTCTGGGGACCTAAAGTCAATGCAGGTTGTGAGCGGCACAATTCCTGACTGTGGCCCAGAATAAGGCTGAGGCAACTCCCAGAGAATGAAAGTTGTGGACTCTTAGCACTGTTTCTATGTCTCTTCTTCATTTCCAAGACCCACAGAGCGGAGAGCCCTCTGAACCCCTTGACGGCACTGCTGGAAGATCCACTCAGAAGCTCAAGTGGATAAGGTTTTATTGGCCATATCAACAGTGAGCACAAATCAAACATACTACCTGATCACTCTGTTACTGTACATCAGAAAAAAGAAAAGCAGCTTGGATTGAGGCTATACAGCAGGGACCCTTGGGGCAGCTGGGTCACCAACTCTGGAGAAGCTGAGTCCAGAGCAGTAACATGTTACCGTCCCACTCCCACAATGCCCCATGCCACAGTGCACGTGCTTCAACCCTAAGACATGAGTACTTCTAAACCTTTAACAAATAGCCATCTCTTCTTGTAGGACGTATTCCCATTGTGGACGCCAAGCCCTTGTTTGGCCCATACCTTCTTTAATGTCTCTCATTTCTGTGTCCCAGCTTCCTCTTGGCTCCAAATAAGAATGTGATAACCTGAGAGGAGGGAGACCAGTCTGACTTGCAGCTTCCATTTTCAGCCTCTGAGATTTTGGGGCTGCCCCAGGGGACCCAGGATTTGGTAAAGAAATACTAGAAAACTGAACAGCAGCCAGGCAAAGCCAGAGGGATGGAGGGCCTAGGCCAAAGAGACCATCATCTCCCAGTCATCATCTTTACTGGCTATTGCCCTGGGGCGAATGCAGCAGGGACAGGCTGAAGTTTGCTTCCAGTGAAACTTGCAGGGGCAGGCTTGGCCAGTGTGATAACATCCTGCTTCTACTCACCCATTGCAGAGGCCAGTGTGTCCCCTATGGGATTGAACTCATTGAGCTGCAGAGACAAGAGTATCAGCATGAGGAGGGGGTAATGCTATTGACAGAAAAGGGTAAACAGGACTAGTATCTGGTTATTTTTGGTCAATAAGGTAGGTTGAATCCCTGCTTCCTCCCATCATTTAAAGGCCCAAGTCTCACCGAGCTGATACCAGAATATTCTGGGTCATAGAGCTGGCACATCATCTTCCCTGAGTTTCCATCAAACACATCAATTGTCCTTAATTCATAAGGGGTACAACTTTTGAAATTAGGATCTGGGTATCGGCCCACAACAATGAGGTTATACCGAGGATGCCAGGTTGCCTAGAAGATGGAGAGGCTGGTTATGAGAGTAAACAACACTATTAAGACAGAAACTAGAAGTATTCTTTGCTACTACCAACCTAACAATAACAGATCTATATGAAATTACAAGAGTGGTTTTCAGTTGTGAGTGCATCTATGTAGCATTGCAAATCTTTAATCCCCAATTGGCCTCCCTAGCCCTTAGGACACCTTCACGTTTTTTCACTCCTTTGCATTTCCTAATATCATAACCAGGATTAATGTTTTAACATCAGCCTGACTCAGACATTGACCTCAGAGGTAAGCAACCTTATAACAAACAAAAAGGCTCTAGTAACCAAACCCAAGTGGAACATAAGTTCTGAAAGAACCCCACTAGTATCCTTCCTCCCCCAACATGAATAAGATTTGGGTATAAAATGTCTAGTGGCTAAAAAGGAGAGGCTACCTATGTTCCCCAGAAAACCCTAATGAAAACAAATTTGGCAGTTATTGGAATGACAAAATTGGATGGGATTTTCCCAACAAAACTTGTCAAGGAAGTTTGCAAAGAAGAAACACAAGGTGGCTCGGTGCCTGTGGCTCAAGCGGCTAAGGCGCCAGCCACATACATCTAAGGTGGCGGGTTCGAATCCCCAGCCCGGGCCCACCAAACAACAATAATCGCTGTAACCAAAAAATGGCCAGGCGTTGTGGCGGGCGCCTGT